TATTTGGGTTTAATAATAATAATGATAAAGTTGGAAGGGATCTTGGAGGTCATCTAGTCCAACCCCCTGCTCAGGCAGGAAACCCTATACCATTCCAACTTCTTTATTATTATTATTATTATTATTATTATTATTATTATTATTATTATTATTATTATTATTATTATTATTATTATTATTATTATTATTATTATTATTACTATTTCGGACAAATGGCTGTCCAGTCTCTTCTTAAAAACTTCCAGTGTTGGAGCATTCACTGCTTCTGGAGGCAGGTTGTTCCACTGGTTAATTGTTCTCACTGTCAGGAAGTTTCTCCTTAGTTCTAGGTTACGTCTCTTTATCTGGCAAATCTAGTAAATCTAATAAATCAGATAACGATCTTATGGCAGCGATCTCACAAGCAAACGTTTCTTATATCTAGGCTCCTTTTAAAAGAAAAAGAAAATGGCGCCGCTTCATGCCGAATTGCATCCTGGGAATTGTTGTTCCTTTCCCACCGCCGGTGGGCCCCCCCGCGACCAGCATTCGGGCGGCGTTGCAGTTGCCTTGGTAACGGGCGAGCATCTCAGCCTTGTAGGGTTGGTGAGAGCAGAGAAACTAAGCAAATTCAGAATGGGGTGAAAAGTACACTCGACACAGTACCACAACTGCACACTAGGCAGCGGAAATCATCCAATAAAAAAATGATTGTCAGAGCAATTAGAAGAACTCCCAGAATTCTCCAGCCAGCATGACCTTTGCAGAGAATTTTGAAAAATCAATCAATCTATCTATCTATCTATCTATCTATCTATCTATCTATCTATCTATCTATCTATCTATCTATCTATCTATCCATCCATCCATCCATCCATCCATCCATCCATCCATGCACCCACCCACCCACCCACCTATCTATCTATCTATCTATCTATCTATCTATCTATCTATCTATCTATCTATCTATCTATCTATCTATCTATCTATCTATCGGTAGTCCTTGATGTACGACCACAATTGAGCCCAAAATGTCATTTGTTAAGTGAGTTTTGCCCCATTCTATGTCTTTTCTTGCCACAGTTGTTAAGTGAATCACTGCACTTGTTAAGTATGTAACAGGGTTGTTAAGTGAATCTGGCTTCCCCTTTGACTTTGCTTGTCTGAAGGTCACAAAAGGTTATCACATAACCCCAAGATATTGCAACCGTCATAAATATGAGTCAGTTGCTAAGTGTCTGAATTTTGATCACGTGACGTTGGCAATTCTGCAATGGTCATAAATGTGAAAAACAGTCATTTATAAGTTGCTTTTTTCAATGTCGTTGTAACAACTTCAAACAAAAGCTCAAGAAGGTATAAAAACCCACCACTCCCAGCTACATGTGGTCAGCTTTCCCAGAGCCATCTTTCTGTCTGGCTCTGCTCTTCAATAAACTGCAACCTTCTTTCTCAAGCAGTCTCCATTTTGTTTATTCCCAGCTTAGACTGGACCCTGATGAAGATTTTTCTTTCGACATGGCAAACAAAAATTGAATGAATTCCTGAAACACGAATCGATGAATGCCTGATCTTTCTGGGGGGAAGTTTGCTCAAGCAATCTGAAATTAACGACGTTTTCATTTAAATTATTAATTTAATTCCTTAGTTCTAAGTGCACTTCCCTGGGGAACTTAGCCTGTTTGAAATCAGCCTGTTTCCTTCTATTTAAATCAAAGAGAATATCTGTAACTCAGGGTTGAACTGTGGGGTCCGTGGTGTTTTTCTGAGCTTGGTGGTTTTCTTGCAGACGTTTCAGTACCCAGCTCTAGTGAGCACTCAGCCAGGTAAATGAAACATTGGCAAGCAAACAATCAAACTCAAGGACCAAGAAGGACCTCACTTTTTTCTTATATTTTGTGGTCCTCAGGCAGAGCTTCAATCACACAATAGCAGTTGTCTCTGCAAATCAGCCCGTTTCCCTTACTGACCAATAGCATCTCTGAATGATAAAAAAAATGATAATATTCAGATGTATTTCTATATTAAAAAAAAACCTTCTGCAGGAAGCTTATAAGCAGAAAAAGAGACTTTTTCAGACACACAAACAATTCTGCAAATGTTTATTTATACATCTTTTATGAAAGGGATAAGAACAAGAAGATTCCCAGCCCCAGAAAATCTGTTTATTCTCAAATATTTCTCCTGAGTATACACATTAAATTAATACTCCCAAATCAATATCCAGTTCCAGAGGCACCTGAAGGGAAGGGATTAAATAAAGCAACATGATCGCAACCGTACGAACAAAGCCCCGCCCCCTCGTGAGTGGCACATCCACAATTTGCATATAAAAGGAGCAGAGCTTTGATCAAGAAACTATTTTTTTTTTCATTTCCACGCAGATACCCCTCTCCACTTGTTTAGTTTTTAATTGGCACATCTGCATTAAGAACTAGCATAACATGTTGCGTTACAATGAGTCTGTGCAGTGGAGACATAACTTTAGATTTTTACGCACCGGATCTGCAATGGTTTCCAACCTTGGTGACTTGATGTACGGACTTCAACTCCCAGAATTCCACACCCAGCATACTGACTGAGGAATTCTGGGAGTTGAAGTCCACACACTTTCAAGTTGTCAAGGTTGTTATTATTGCAAGGAACGAAATGACGCTTTGTTCCAGAATAAATCATCTGTAATTTCCAGATTTGAGATGTCCCTGAATATCCCTCCTTTGGATTGATTAACAATTAAAAGATGATGTTTCGAGAGTGAAATCACAGTTAAGACATTGCTGCAAAAAGTGTCAAAAGTGGAAGGGAATTGGGCACAACAATGAAACCCAATTTATAATTTTAAAAAAATTCACGCCGGAGTCCATAATATTGCACAATTCCGCTCCTTAATACAGTAAGTCGGCATTACTCAACTTTGGTGACTTTTAAGATGTGTGGACTTCAACTCCCAGAATTCCCTAACCAGCAGGAGGAATTTTGGGGCTAAAGTCGATCAATCTTAAAAGTTGCCGAAGTTGAGAAACATTATAGAAGGTAAAGGGTGAAGATACACCACTACATGGGAAAAGAACATTTTGCATTGCAGTAACGTAAAATGTGCTGGAAATGTGTTCTCCTTTGGATTCTTCTCAGGAAATACTTTTCAAGCAAACTTTGGTCTCTCTTGATTTAAACCTTGCAGGGGAAAAAAATATAGATACTTAAAACGAACTTTCTGATTTCTGTGCAAGTGATTAAATGCACTCAGTGTGTTTTATGTTAGCTTCTGAGGCCACTTTTGTGCTTACAAGATTATTGCATTATTCGCCTGCCACAAACATAGTTCCAGCAGGATGGGTAGCAACTTGGGTACCGCTGAGATCAGCACCTGTTGCCTGGTGTTACCTGAGAACTAAGTTTCCTTTCCTGCAACTGCTTCTGTGTATCAAAATCACAATAACACACAAATACATTATGCACGGGCACCCCCGTTTGCAACAGCTGGGCCTACGACGGTTTTTTTTTTTTACAATTCTGCAAACCGGTTCCGAAGCAATTTGATACCGAACAGGTTGACCAATAATTTAAATAAATTATAGGACGCAGGGAAAAAAGGAAGTCTCTTGAATAACATAAACATTTTCTCCTAGTGCAACAGAGTGTGTCCCGTGATACTCGAAGTGTTGATGTACGCTGTCCATGGTCTTCCCAAGCCTGAAGATGTCCTTTAGGAAGCAAGTCTGCGCATAGCCTAGTTTTTTTTAAAAAAAAAAGAAAAGAAAGGGAAATAGGATTGGAATTCTAAATTTGAAATGAAAACTGTGAAGACTAAATAGATGTTGATTACCACTGTAGCCATTCTCATGTATATCAGGTAAATTAGGTTTCTTTTTCCCCAAAGAACTCTTGAAAATAGTTTATTGAAGATGCTGCAAATGTGGTGTTAAGAGAACCCCAGTTACCATGACAGAATCTTATTTGGAGCTGTCCTTGGTGCTCTCTGAGCATGGTTGTTTCCTTGCAGACGTTTCTTTACCCAACTAAGTAACATCATCAGTGCTAGAAGGGAGTAGGGTTTGTGGAGAGGAGGAGGAGGAGGACGAGCATGGTTGTTTCCTTGCAGACATTTCTTTACCCAACTAAGTAACGTCATCAGTGCTAGAAGGGAGTAGGGTTTGTGGAGAGGAGGAGGAGGAGGAGGAGGAGAAGGAGCAGGAGAAGGAGGAGGAGAAGGAGGACTATGGGGTCCTTGGTACTCTTTGAGCTTGACTGTTTCCTTACAGACATTTCTTTACCCAACTAAGTAACATCATCAGTGCTAGAAGGGAGTAGGGTTTGTGGAGAGGAGGAGGAGGAGGAGGGGGAGGAGGATGACTATGGGGTCCTTGGTACTCTCTGAGCTTGGTTGTTTCCTTGCAGACATTTCTTTACCCAACTAAGTAACATCATGAGTGCTAGAAGGGAGTAGGGTTTGTGGAGAGGAGGAGGAGGAGGAGGAGGAGGAGGAGGATCATGGGGTCCTTGGTGCTCTCTGAGCTTGGTTGTTTCCTTGCAGACATTTCATTACCCAACTAGGTAACATCATCCATGCTAGAAGGAAGTGAAGTTTTCTTACAACTTGCTTCTGAAGTTCCGATGGCTGGGATNAGGAGGAGGAGGAGGAGGAGGAGGAGGAGGAGGAGGATCATGGGGTCCTTGGTGCTCTCTGAGCTTGGTTGTTTCCTTGCAGACATTTCATTACCCAACTAGGTAACATCATCCATGCTAGAAGGAAGTGAAGTTTTCTTACAACTTGCTTCTGAAGTTCCGATGGCTGGGATCCCCCCTGCAGTCACATGACTACATTTTGGGCACTCAGCAACCAGCTCACATTGACAGCTGTTTGCAACATCCCATGATCCCATGATTACATTTTACACGTTTCCCCAAAACCCAGCATTTACTTCCCGTTTGCCACAAAACCACCCCACAGTGGACAGTTGGTTTTTTTTAGCAACTGTGGGGTTCCCTTAACAACGATCGGGCATGGGACAACCCAGTTTATGATTGTCCCAACTTACAACCGTAATGGGCAGGGTCCCCTACGCTCATGTTGATGGCTACTTGCATTATTTTACGATTAAAAATGATAACCGTGCAGATTTGAAATGAGAAAATACCTCTTCTTGAACATCCAGCTCTTCATTCTGGTAAGTTTCTGGAAATTCTATCGGTTCTTTTGATTCCTGCATCAAGGATATCTGGGCCAAAAGAACGTAGAGTTATTCAAATGACAAATCGCAAATTAATTGATTGAGTAGATAATACTGTTCTGTTAAACAATTAAGTACAATTCTCTGATAGAATTGTTTCATTGTGACAAAAAAAAAGTAAATTAAAACCTCTTTAACAGCAATCATCCTTGAATCTGCACAGAGGCATTCTTTCCAAAAGTATTTAAATGATATTTAAATATCCACTGTGAACATGTTTTCCCTCACAAAGACAGTTAACCGAGTATTTCTTTTTCAATTAAATATTGCAAAGTAGAATGAAAATAACCAGGACTTATGTGAAAATATTATGCGGGTGTAAATAAAACGCCATACCAATAGGTTCATAAATAAATATAAAATATGTACAGGTCCTACCTTTTCAGCTATAGGGTCTTGGGCCTCCCTATACATGACTTGACTCTGTATGTGTAGTACAGCATCGTGTACAGTCAGGAAAAATACTTCTTTTTGAATGTTATCGTCAAAAAAGGCACAGTGTTCTAATGTTTTAATAATGTGGTCTGCAGGGAAAATATACAATAAAAATATGACCAACACCAGACAGATAACAATCAGTTTGAATATTCACACCTGTTAAAAGTATATATATATATGAGATCATTGTAAATCAGCTTTTTTCCCTCCACTGACAGAATAAGTAAATAAAATAAATTTATGTACAGAATACAGGCAGTCCTCAACTTACAACACTTCATTTAGTGACCGTTCCAAGTTACAACGGCACTGAAAAAAAGGGACTTATGAACATTTTCACAGTTACAACTGTTGCAGCGTCCCCACGGTCACGTGATCAAAATTCAGACGCTTGGCAACTGACTCGTATCTATGACGGTCGCAGCGTCCCTGGGTCATGTGATCCCCTTTTGCGACCTTCTGACAAGCAAAGTCAATGGGGAAGCCAGATTTACTTAACACCTGTGTTAATAACTTAACAATTGCAGTGATTCCCTTAATAACTGTGACAAGCAAAGTCATAAAAACCTCACTTAACAAATACCTCACTTAGCAACAGAAATTTTGGGCTCAATTGTGGTCATAAGTCAAGGACTACCTGCATATAGGAGGTTTTTATGACTTGAAGAGGGAGGTGTATCATGAATTCTGCAATGTTGGTAACTCGCTGGATTTAAAAATGAAAGGGCTGAGGATGTAATTAGGGATTGTGGTGGGAGGTCATTACTACAATACTTTCAAAACTATTTCTTCCAGACTAAACATTTCTTCTACACTGTTCTCTGTGCTCTGTTCCCTGTAACAAATAAAAGCTATAATAATAATGTGCAGATTTTCATTTACCTAGATGTGATGCGATGTATACTGACACATCAATTCTTTTGAACTCTTTGACAATCTGAAAAAAAAAAAGATGAGTGTTATCTTAAATATAGCTTTAAGGACACATGGGGAATACTGGAGGGTGTATTCAGAATTAAATTTTCTGATCCAGGTCTCATTTAAATTTGTAGATCTAGTACACAAGGCCAAATAAATGTTACCTATTCAGCACTGATGATGTTCCCTAGTTGGGTCCCGAAACGTCTGCAAGAAAACCGCCAAGCTCAGAGAGCATGAAGGATCCCCACCGTTCAATCTGAGCTATACATTTTCTCTTCTGGGGTTATCATTTATCCATGCATAAAAGTTTACCTTTATTCTGCATCAATTCCAACTGCATTGTTAAATTTGCACTTTTATCACTGCCACCTTTAGAACAGAATAGAGCTGGAAGGGACCTTGGAGGTCTTCTAGTCCAGCCCCCTGCTCAAGCAGGAGGACCTAGACCATCTCAGACAAGTGACTGTCTAGCCTCTTCTTGAAAATCTCCAGTGATGGAACGCCCACGATTTCTGGTGGCAAGCTGTTCCACTGGTTAATTGTCCTCACTGTCAGGAGGTTTCTCCTTAATTCCTGACAGTGAGGACAATTAACCAGTGGAACAGCTTGCCACCAGAAATTGTGGGCGCTCCATCACTGGAGACGGTATAGGTTCTCCTACTCTCCTCTATTCTATTCTATTCTATTCCATATTCTGTTCTGTTCTATTCTATTGTAATGAAGAGAAGGACAGGGGTGACATGATAGTAGAATTTCAATATTTAAATAACTGCCACAAAGAATAGAGAGAAGCTAATTCTTCAAAGCATCTGAGTGGAAGTTAACCAAAGAGAGAAGCAACCTAGAACTAAGGAGAAACTTCCTGACAGTTAGAACAATTAACCAGTGGAACTACCTGCCTCCAGAAGCGGTGAATGCTCCAACACTGGAAGTTTTTAAGAAGAGACTGGACAGCCATTTGTCTGAAATGGCATAGGGTTTCCTGCCTGAGCAGGGGGTTGGACTAGATTATTATTATTATTATTATTATTATTATTATTTATTAAATTTATATCCCGCCCTTCTCCTTGCGGACTCAGGGCGGCTGACAATCGATTTAAAAAACATAAATAACAATTACAGAATTAAAATTAATTAAGAAGAAATATTTAAATATCGTCCAATTAAAATATGATTAAAACCCCTCTAAAAATTGCCCTAGGCCAG